GCCAGCTGGTCTTTGTAAGTGAACTCTACCTGCTTAAAAATAACTTCCTAGGAGGCAATCTCTTAATGTTTTTAAATAATAAAACTATATTTAAATAACTTAATTTAGCTGGGCATCGTCTTTATTTAATTGGGGATTAGTTCCCAGCATTAGATCCTTAAGGTATCTGTGTCCTTAGATCTGGTGACTTAAGTAGACTTGTTTGCAGATGGAAAGGTGTCCACAAGAGCGAGAAGGTCAGCACACCTAGGTGCGCGTCCTGATGTCATCCTTTAGTTGAAAAGTCTGTTAAGTTTTTTTGAGTAAAAAAGGAATTGTATTTTTATGCCTTTTATTGTGAAAAATGCAATTACGTTTTTATGCCTTTTTATTGTGAAGAAATAGATTTCTATTTTTGAATTAAAATTTTTGTTAAAATATTCTAATAACAGATTACGAGAGCCACATTAAATAAATGTATAGAGTGAGTTATTACTTATTATACAAGCAGCATAAGTACCACTTGAACCAATATCTAGACCATTGCCCGCTCTGAGCAGCACCCCCTGTGCCCCATCTTTGCCCCAGAAGGAAACACTATCCTGAATTTTAGCAGTCACTTTCTTTTGTTATTTATAGATTTATCAGACAAGTATACATCCCTCAGCGTAATAGTCTTGCCCATTTTTTAAAATTTAAGCCTCTGAATGTGCAGGTGCCCACATTCCTTCCTTTTCCTCATAATTTATCTGTTGAAGAACCTGGGACATTTGTCCAGAAGACCTTTCTGCCACCTGGGCCTCCATGTGCCCAGTGCAGCTTGGTGAGTTCTTCCGTCCCCTGCATTTCCTGAAAATCGGCAGCTGGATCCCGAAGCTTGACCAGGTTTATCTGGGGTCCTTCCGGCAGGTCTGGAGGTGGTCCTGTGTTCTTACATCGGGAGACTGGGGGTGTGTAGTTGTTTCTCCTTTTCATAATGTCAGTAATTGTTAATGATGCTCATTGCCTAGATCAGTGGTTCTCAACCAGGGGGAGCATTGGGGCCCCCTTCCCCACTACCCCTGCCCTGGGGGACAGTTGTCAATTTGGTTTGGGGCTGTCACAACTTGGGGAGAGGTTGCTATTGGCATCTTGTGAGTCGAGCACAGAGATGCTGCTACACATCTGATGTGCACAGGATGCCGCCAACCTAAAGAGGTGTCCAGCCTCAGATTTCAGGAGCGTGAGTCCTGGACTAGGGGTTGAAAAATAGTATCACTCCAATTTTATCATTTCTTTTTGATTTGTTGTTAGAATACTTTTTGCAAAGAGATGTGTCGCCTCATGTATTACTTGGTTATCTGGTGGTACAGTACATATAAAATGGAGTCCTTCAAATGCTCGATTCTTTTATTTACTAGTTTTCAGGATAATAGATTCTTCAGTGACCATTTTAGCTTTTTTTTTTTTCAGTTACAGTGACCACATGGATTAAATATGGATCTAAATATGGATTAAGTATTTAAATTGGATCCACTAAATATGGATTTAAACATGTGTCTATGAAGAATATCAGTCAATTGCAATTACTATGCTTTTCAATTTCAAATTGTCCTGTTCTTTAGCCACTGGGAACTTCAAGTTAGTTGCCGTGACCCTGACCTAGTGGCCCTTGTTAGTTTTCTTGGTGTCTGGTAGCAGAGGACCTTGCAGGTTCACCCTGTATATTTTCTGCCACTGACTTGACACCATCCATTTCTCTCAGGAGCTCTAGTTTTGTTAGTAAGGAGTGGGATTTCAAGTCCCTGGCCTACAAGTGGGCGTGCTCATGTTGTTGAGTATCTGTGTTAGCCATTGCTTCTGAGCCTCCCAGGGGATACATGTATGACTGAAGCTTCTTTTTGTTCAAGAAAAAGTACCTTATGAGTTCATAGTAATATTTCAAGTTCAGGAATACAGATTTAAAAATATTTCTTTGTTATATTACATTTGTTTCTCTTTTCCTCTATCCTGAAAATCCTGGTTGTCAGGACACAGGAGCTGATAGAAATAGAACATCCCTTAGTTAGTCATTTATTTCATCCTACATGACACACACAATAGTCTCAGAATAATGATAATTTTACCATCATCAGTTTTACTAATGAGAAAATTAAGATTATTTATGTATTTGCGCCTTCTATTTTCTTCCTAGTTTTATTGACTCTGTATCCACATGGCCTGAGCAATAGCTGCTCTGTATTGTACTGTTTATTTTTAGTTCCATAGGTTGAGTGCTCACCAATGCTTATGTCAATTGTTAGTCTAGTAACTTTGATTGTTTAGAACCTATTACCCAAGTGATCACTGCAGATAGCCTTGTAGGAACAATATTATTTGAGCCCTGGCATACTGTTAACAGTTGTGTTTTATACTTTAAAGTCAGTTTTAATGGATATAAAATGGTCCACATTTTATTTCTCAAGTGTATTAAATATATTACTGCATTTTTTCTGTCTTGAAGTGTTGCTATCAAGATCTGATGGTAACTTGATTTTCTTTCCCTTTCATTTAACTTGCTGTTTTGTTCAGATGCCTAAATTACTTTATTCTTTCATCTTAAATTCTAGTATTTTAATTAAAATTATTGTATTGGTTGATGCTTTTAGGTTCATGGTGTGCTCTTTCAGTACTTTATTTCAAATCTCTTTTTAATTTCAAGAAGTTTTCTTGAATTGTAGGTTTCATTATTTCTGTTCCCTTGCTTTGCTGGTCTTCTTTAGGCACTCCAATTATCTGTATGTTGGGTCTTCTGTAATCTTCAATCTTCAGTATTTGTAATTTTCTTTGGAATTTTTTTCGATGAAAAATTTCCTCCTTTTTCTCATAAGGCACAGTCAGTTTATTTGCTTCTCGGTTTAGTGTTCATTTCTTAAAAGAGTGAAATATATATATATATTTTAAATGAAAAATTTGAAACAATTTTCTAATTCTGATTTATTTTTCATCTTTCATGTCTTGTAAATTTTCTTGATGTCTTTGAGCTTTTAATAGAATACTTTTGCAAAGAGATGTGTTGTCTCATGTATTACTTGGTTATCTGGTGGTACAGTACATATAAAATGGAGTTCAAATGCTTGATTCTTTTATTTACTAGTTTTCAGGATAATAGATTCTTCAGTGACCATTTTAGTTCTGATGACTTCAATTGAAATAGCCTTTCTGATACGTTTTCATTGTGTATAGGGGTTTTATTGTGCCCCACATTCTTTTTCTTGTTATTCTGATAACCTTGCATAAGGCTGGAAGTTGCTATAGATGTGATACTTTTCTCTCACTTGATTTTGTGTGAAGTCAGTTTTGGGAAGATGCAGGAAGCATCATGGGTCATGGTACCTTTTCCGACTTCATGCAGGTTTCCTCGTTCTTGGGTGGCGACTGGGAACAGAGCAGCTTGCTTTCTGAGGTCTCCCTGCTCCTCCTGTGTCTGCGTGGACCATCTCTTTCCTCTGTCACTGTCTTCTCCGCCTTGATCGACCCCAAGCAGCCGTGGCAGTGCCTCCCCAGCCTACAGCCCGGGCGGGTCAGTTTCAGGAATGTCCAGGGCCAGCTTGCTCTGCCTCCTTCCGGCTTCTCTGTGGACCCCTTTCTTCTGTCTGCTTTTGGAGTAGACATGATTTCTCCTGGATCAAGCCGTTTCCCAACTGGGCCTGCCAGGCTTTCCATGAAATACTTGCTGGCTATTTTGGGTTCTTCTGTGGCATTTTTTCCAGCTGCTCCACCACTACCTCCCCCTTCTTATGCGCAAGCCCTGACATCACAGAGGCCTTGGGGCTGTTGTGTGTTTGTACTCATCCGCTTGCCTATTGGGCATGTGAGAGATGGTACGTTGGTACCTGACTCAGTTGTGACTGAGTTCTGCGGTTGCTCTCTGCACTCTGTCCACTCTGTGTTGAGATTCTGAGGGACTATAAAACTAGGGCATTGCTACTGTCTAGAATTGTATTTTGGGTTTGCTTTTCCCATACTTAATGAAAATTATTACAAAATTAACTTTTGATGATTAGGTGTCTAACAAACGTTTCTTTAAAATTGTCAAGTATCTCCATCTGATTTAGAAATGGCTCTATTTTATAAGTAGGTCAATTTCTTGTGGGGTACAAAAAATACATATCTACATTATCAGCAATTTTTTTGCTCTAAAGAAAGTTGGTGCATCTTCAAACTCATGTAGTCCTTACGCTGTGAAAATGAAGTAAAATGGGGTGCCATGGGAGGGCCGTGGTCTGACTTCCATTCTGTAGGCTCTCTGGCTGCTGCGGGCTGCGTGGCTGATGGATGAGCCCGAGCCGTGGGGGGAGCAGCCGGGAGGCCAACTCACTGATCCTGAAGGCCGGTGACAGTGACCCAGACCTGGGTGGGGGCCCCGAATACCATTTCTGGCTATACTCAGAGAATTAACAAGATTCCCTTTGCATGGGCTTGGGGTGTGAGATAGGAGAGGACTTCGGGATGAGTCCTGGGTAGCCTGCTAGGTAATGTCCCCAAGGAAGAAAAAGATCAGATGGCAATGAGTTCTGTACAGAGGGGTGAATAGGGTCGTGTGACAGAGAGTAGTGGCTTCTTGACACTGGGTAAGGAGGTGGCTTTGACACTCAGTCAAAGTGGCACGATGGAGCCGGGCACACCAGGAGCAGGGAGATGCATTCCAGGCTGAGGGGGCAGCTCCTGCGGAGGCCTGAAGGGACAGATGGCTCAGCAGCCCCCAGGTCAAGGGGCAGCCCCAGGCTGGTGCAGTGTTAGGAGATGTGTTGCTTTGCCGCCGGACGCGGGGTAAGGAGCTGTCCTTTTTTAGGAGTGCTGCATTCTCTACTTCTTCTGCCGCAGGTGTGAATGTGTGTTCATGGCAGGTGCGTCAGGCAGTTGTAATTAACACAAGATGGAATAGTTATGACAGAAGTTGGAGTATTCTTTCCTGTTACTGTTACTGTTTATTTTTGAGTTGAATCTCCTTCGTTGAAAAAGCACAGCAAACTTATTCACAGCTTTATCCTCTCTTTCAGACGGAATCAGTGTGAGCGGCTTCCCACTGTGCAGCCCCTTCCGCCAGGTCGCGAGGCCTCGAGTGGAGAGCAGACCTGTGAACCCCACTGAGGGCAGCAAGCCTGGGGACCCGGGCCACACAAAGGTGAGTGGGGCACCCACATGTGCCACCGGCTGGCGCTCTTGGCTTCTGCCATCTCTTCCAAGGCAAAGTTTTGAGGGTTTTTCAGAAAGGACAGGAAGCGTGCATTTGATACCAGCGTCGTGCTTGTGGAAGGCTGGTTTCTCAGTGTTTCGCCCTGTGGAATGCTTTGGAAGGTGGCTCCACTGCAGGCTGCATGCGTTGGGCTTGGTGTGCCCTGCGTTCCTTTCTGTGGAACAGTGGTGTTTGTGGGTTGAGTCAAGGAGTGCGGTGATAGAAGTGTAATGTTTCTGGCATTCTTCCTGTTTGAAAAATGTATTTATTGTATTATTATTCTTACTTCAGATGTTCATCCCATAAACTTATCCTTTGCAATTCCTTCCTTTTGCTGGTTTATAAGCACTCAGGAAGCCAAAATGCACACACAGTGGTTGTGCAAAGGTGCCCTGGGCCTATGGGTGATGAGAGGCCCGCATCTCTGAGGGCCCAAGGAGGGCTCTGAGCCGGACGGGTCAGACACATCAGCATCTGGGAACGCTCCGCTTGTCTGAGCTGCCCGGGGACCATGTGGGGAGCCAGGACTGAAGGCCTTAACAACTCCGACTGGGTGCAAGCAGCAGGGTCCCAGAGGAGTGTCGCAAGCAGGTCTGTGCGAGGGCTCCACCTGCGTCCTCGACGCTGGCCCTGCAGAGGGGCGACGGTGGCTCGGGCCCATCAGCAGGGGCTGCCGCGCTGGTTGTGCCGCTGGTGTGGCCAGTGCAGCTGGGAGCTCTCTGTCCCCGGGAGCGCTCACCTGAAGCTTGATTGCGGGGCGCCAGGGCTCCCGAGCGCTCCTCTGGTTGGGGAGCAGTGGGGCCAGGCCATGCTCCTGCAGGTGGTGTCACACACCACGGTGACAGGGCCCATGCAGCTCGGAGCCTGCCTGCCTCTCCCCTGGCACACCACGGGGCGGCCTGTGTTCTGGCTTGTGGACGTCCCTGTGCATCCCCACCCCACGGCATCACCCTCCTCTCCTATGTGCCTCTGCAGGCCCCCGCTCAGCTACCCAGCCTCCTCAGGCTTCTTTCCCACATCCCACCAAACACTGCAGGGGGAATAATACAAATTTTATGTAAAGTCTTCCTTCAGGAAACTTGAAAAAGAGGGAATAGTCCTAACACATTCTGTGGTCCACATTGCCCTGACTCCAAAACTGGACAAAGGGGTTCTGCAAACAACAAGGACTCCTGGACATAGATGCAAATGTTTAAGCAGTGTACCAGCACATCTTAACAACATGCGAAGTATTGGCCGAGCAGGGTGTATCTGAGGAACGGATGCAAGGTTGGTTTATAATTAGAAAACCAACAAATGTCATTCTTCATTTAACAAACTAAAGAAGGAAAACCATCTAAACATTTCAATAGATGTAGAAAAAGCATCTGACAAAATATAGTATCTGTGTCCAGTAAAAACCCTCAGCAAACTAGAAATAGAAGGGAACTTTTGCACCCGCTGAAGCGTACCTACAAACCCCCTGCAGCCCCGTTGTGCTTCAGGCTGGGGACTGCTTTTCCCACCCGGCCCCGCAGGTGTCGCCTCTCGGGCTGCTCCTGCCTGGCGCTGGCCGCTCACTCTGATTGGAAGACCTTCCTTGGTTCCTTTCGTTCTGGGCATGCTCCCCAGTCCTCCTCCGGGGCCCCTTTCTGGTGTGACCTCGTCTGCCCAGCCTTCACACAAGCAGAGCCAGGCACTCCTGCCCGTGTCCCCACTCGGCTCTCTGTTCCCATCTCTGTTGCCCTTCTGTGCTTATGTCCCCAAGTCCCTCATATCTATAAGCTCCTCATGGCCACAGGCCAGTCCCTACTGCCTGGCGCAGGCTCAGCCTTCAGTAAGTCTGTCTTGATCTAGGTATTCAAGATTGCCAGGTCAAATGTTCCCTCCCCACGGGGATTCTCTCCTCTCTGAGGAGGTTTCTTTCATCAGTGAGGCGAAACAGGACAGTAAAATGAGTTTCTTCTCACTCAGAATAAAGCCTAATTTTGGAACTCCTCAGAATCCCAGCAATATTCAGATACTATCATATGTCATGTTAAATGTTTTATATTACTTTAGCCTTTGCAGTAAAGAACCGTGGGATATTCATAAAGTTCTTACATGCTTTTACGTTTTAATTGTGTTTATAAAGGGACCAAGTGGAAAGATCTGCTTAGAAACTTGTGAGCAAATGTATTGAAGTTAAAGAAAACTTGTTATGCAACAAATAGAATATTTTCTTAAGCTGTGTTAAAAATCAGGTTCTCATCAACTGCGAGGAGAAAACATATTAGGTCATTTGTTCCTGGGTCATGTTCACACTCAAGGATGTCTAGCAGTGGAACATTCTGGGGCTGGAGAGATGTATGGCCAGAGAGGCTTGGAAGGTGACAGTCAGGAGTCTTAGCAGTTTAAACAGTATTCACACGTTACCTCTCTGACGACTGCAAGTCCACAGCGTTCAAGTGGAAATTGCTGGGCAGCTTAGAAAGATTAAATAATGTTCCTGAGGTCAGGCAGTTATGTGGTAAAAATTAAAATTCAAACCCAGATATGTCTGAATCCGAAGCTTGTGCAATTTCTACAATATCCTGCTGCCCCCTCTATATAATTTAAGTTTCCAAACTTATTATGGGGTACAAAGCATTCTCTATTGATTCTAGCCACAGCTGTACAGCAGTGACTGTGAGCTTTTCTCCTATCTGACCCTCAGTTTCCACTTATTATGGGGTACAAAGCATTCTCTATTGATTCTAGCCACAGCTGTACAGCAGTGACTGTGAGCTTTTCTCCTATCTGACCCTCAGTTTCCAATCTGTAAAATGCAGATAATAAGCCTTCCTCCCGGCTGTTGTAAGGGGTAAAGCACGTGCTATTAGCCTGGGTAGATAAGAAAAGCCAGCAAAATGGCAAACCCAGTTCAGTTCCAAATTATTTCTAATCTGTCCCAGTAATAGTTACAGAGACAGGGAGTTTTTTTTCTACAAAGTTTAAGCATAAAAGCTTCAAAGGAATCCTTTAATCTGCTCAACAATTTCAAAGCTTAATAAAAAATTGAGCAGTATGAGAAGGGGAAAGTCTACTGCCTGTGGAATTCTAGAACAGATGTCAGAGGAGAGAGGCTAGACGAATGTTCCTTGAGGTTCTGACACTTTTGGGACTTCTGCGCGCACAGTAGCCACTGCTGTCTGAGCCCCCTGTAACGGGACACGCACCCCATTCAGGGCTCAGACACCTGCTGTGTTAACCATCACATGCCCCGTTGGGGAGGGTGGGGCCTGACAGTGAACGAGATGGAGACCTGGAGCCTCCCTTCCGGCGGGAGAGACGCAGGTCACACGAACAGATGGCGGGGTGTGGAAAGCAGAGGAAGCGATGGGAAGGGGACTGACTGCCGGCTCGTTCGGGTGGGGCCATCAGCACAGGCCTCTCTGCCCCGTCACCGTAGAAATCTGCCGGGGACATGCAGGCGGTTCGTGTCGCTGATGGTTTACTGCGCTGGCACCAGGACGTTATTCAGAATACCAGCATCAGCTGACAGAGTATGTGTGTATTAGATGTGTGCCAGTCTTTCCTGTAGATTGTGAGTTGGTCCGGGTTAAGGGTGGTGCTTACTAATCTTTGCATGTCCACTGCCTGGTGTGGCGCCGGCGCGGTAGGCGTTCGGCAGAGCCCTTCTCAGTAAGGAGAGAACATGAAATGGCTTCTCAGGAACCGCTCCCTCTCACTTCTGTTGGCCGCCAATCGCGTGCTGCCTTTGGTCATGCCAGTGCCCTGAGGCCTCGCTTCATGGGTGTTAGCGTGTATCTAGATGGCCTGGGTGTTCGTTAGATGGAGCCGGGCCCCATCCTCTGACATTCGCATTGGGGAGGTCTGGGTGGGGGCCTGAGAATATGCATTTCCAGCACGTTCCCCAGTTGTGGTGCTGCTGTGGAGCCACCCTGAGGACCTGCTTGCAGCTATTACGGGTTTTCACTTGGTTTTTCCCTTTTTATTTCTGCAGGACTAGACCGTGAGTATCTGCAGGAACCGCTCTGGGCCTTCCTGAAGATGTGACTCACAGCTCGTGGGGTCACCCCCTCTAAGCAAAATTTGGGGAATCTCAGGGACTGATTTGTGGCACTTGCATTCCTTAAAAGGACTTTTCATGAACATTATGATAAAATCATAATGCAAACATGCAGCTACAGTTAAATCTAACATCAAAATGTTTATTTGGGGGAACACCTGTCTAGGAAGCACCTGAAGCTACCAGCTTGGGGCACCAGCTTGGGGCATCAGCTTGGGGCACCAGCTTGGGGCATCAGCTTGGGGCACCAGCTTGGGGCACCAGCTTGGGGCATCAGCTTGGGGCACCAGCTTGGGGCACCAGCTTGGGGCATCAGCTTGGGGCACCAGCTTGGGGCACCAGCTTGGGGCATCAGCTTGGGGCACCAGCTTGGGGCACCAGCTTGGGGCATCAGCTTGGGGCACCAGCTTGGGGCACCAGCTTGGGGCATCAGCTTGGGGCACCAGCTTGGGGCACCAGCTTGGGGCATCAGCTTGGGGCACCAGCTTGGGGCACCAGCTTGGGGCATCAGCTTGGGGCATCAGCTTGGGGCATCTCCCAGGTTGAGGTAAATGGTGGCACCGTTCAGGATTCTCAGAAGCCCTCAAATCTTTGGGTGCCCCAACCCCTCACTGAGGGGGTTCCCTGCATTCCCAGGAACCTTCTCAGAGTTGAGTTAGATTGGCTATTCAGACTGACTGACAGAAACAAAGCACATAATGTATACTTTGAGTAAGGAAATGGAAATTTCAAACCATGAACATCTGAGGCCCAAGATTCATTTCACAAAATGTCATACATGTCTAGGTGGCCTCCTTAGTCCCTAAAAAGTCCACAGCGGTGAAATCTGTGACCACATTAAACAAAAGGATTCTGCCTCCTCTCCCACCAGAAATACGTCCATTATTGAAATAGGCAAAAATGGGAGGAAAAAGCTTAC